TATATAATGAGAACTGAAAAAAATGAGTCAGCCATAACAAATAGTAACTCTAAATTTAAAGAGTAACGAACCAAGATAAACATGGTTAATTCTGGCAATCAGGGCAAAAGCCACCGGATCCTATTACTTTGCTTTTTTGAACACCTTCCATCCTCTATCTGCTCGCCTCCCCATCCCCCCTCACTGGCCCATCTGCCCCTCAAGCTCTCCCTTTGAGAGCAGTCTTGTATACTGTCACTCGATTATCTGAGAAATATTACTTATTTCAAAACGGTTCTGTAGGGAGGACCTGAAAGGCATCTAGTGGGAATAATCAGGCCTTCTAACGGCCCTTAAATATGTATTTACATAAAACAGACCATAAATATTCTAACACACGTCGGCGTATGACAGGAGCCAAGAAAGCTGCCGCAGACTTAGTCACAGTGCCTCTCCCACCCTTCCCAACAGAAAAATGTTTCTCCTGCTTTCCAGAAACTCCAAATCAAAAGCAAAAATGGTAGCCAGCACAACCCTGTGAAGGCTGCTCCACCAGCTAAGGAAAGCACAGGAGAAAGGAGAACAGATCTGGGGTTACCACAGGGTAACAGTCTCCTCTTCACTTTGTACCTTTGTTTCTTGCTAAAGATTAGTCACAAACGCAACTCTAGATAATAACGTGGGTGTGCAAACATCATATGCTCACAGACACTCCTATAGGTTTCATGTTCATTTAAGAGAAAAGAATACAAAGTACCCTATAAAGGAAGAATATTTTAAACAAATAAAGGGGGAATATAGCACTACAATAGGAAATAAAGAAGTTTCCCCACCCTTCTGATCAGGATCTCATTAATTTCAAGGTCAGAATTCCATTTCACTTTGGGAGACAGACTCATTTAATTTTTCTCCACCCAGGCGTATTCCTGTGTGAGGGATCCATCTCCATGGGGGATGGCACCACCACACAATGCAGACCAGGCAAACAGAAGAGTTATGGCTTTGACACTCAGAGGGGAATGGATATCCACATCTATGAGTTCTGACTTGACTAACAAGCCTCCTCCCTCTCTGGGGGCCTGGTGCAGGTGAAAAGGTAGAAAATGGAGCCAGGCTGGATTTGTTAGGTGAGAAGAAAGGAATCTCCATCTCCAGATGGTACTTGGTGGCATATGAGTTTAGAGAGAATTTCGTTTTCAGTTTGTATTTGGAGGCAAAAAAGGAGGGCAAGAATCAGTCACACCCTAACCCAGCAAAGTTTTAACCAGAGGTCAGATTACAGCTAGTCTTGATTACTTGGACAAATGGAAAACTCAACTCAAATAAAATAGACCAACACAATATACGTTCAGCAGGGATCTCCAAAAGGCAGGATCATGACACATAGAAGTTGGCTGTACAGAAAGTGAAAAGGTGAAACAGGAGCTCAAGCAAAAGTGAGCGAGCAACTGCAGCAGTTGTGCTGTCAGATGGCAGCCTTCTCCCTTCAGTGGGGAGGTCTCGGGCTTACAGACGCTGACATAAAAGACACACTCGCAACATATTTCAAAACCAAAGAGCGATGGATTTACAAGGCAGGTTGATTTTATGATGACTTTTATTGAAAAGGTACGCTGGGTTTAGGCAGATGCCTTTTAGCGCAGGAAAGTTAACACAGTGCCTAATTCAAGGAGACAGCCTGAGGAAGCAGTGCCGACAGGGGAGAGAGCTGCAATGTCTCTATTACTCTCCTCGGCATCATAAAGAGAAGAGAAAAAAAAAATGGCATTCGGGTTGGTGGTTATAGAGAGGACAGAAGCACAAAAAATAAAGAAGAGGGGAAAGCAAACCTCAGATGTAGTTTTCTTAAGAAAATAAAATGAAGCAAGTCTTAGAACAAAAGGTTGGTGGGAACTACTCTTAGTTCATAAATTCTCACCAGGCTTGAAGAAAACTGCTCTGTCTACCCACAGCCCAAAAGCTTCAAAAATACAATTATTTTCTGATTATATTAGAGGAGAAGATTGCAGGGTTCAACACTCCTAGTCTGCAAGTCCCATATGAAGGCTTAGTTGCAACTATTAATGGACGTTCCAGTGCCCAACAAGGCACTTGGAGAACACAAAAAAGCTGTTCCATAAGCAGAAACTAATAATAGTTGTGAACATCAAATATGTAGCAGTCACAGATCAGCAATGGCTAGTCCTAAAAGTGAGCCCCAGGATAAGCATCCAGCAAACCTGTTAAATCCCCAGAGAAGTCGGCTTTCTAGCCTTGCTATTGCAAGGAAAACACAGCTGTTTGAAATGCTTTATGGTGATTGACGACACCTTTGTCCTTCTCTGAAAAACAGCCTGATGTGGACAAGGGCTGGAGTTGTGAAAATAAAATCAAGTGGAGTTGGCCTGATGTGATACAATGGAAAAGCTAAATAAATAAATAAATAATACTGAGATCAGAGAAATAATGAGGACAGCAAAGAGAGGAGGGAAGAACAAGTTGCTTCAGCGCCGCCTCCCCCCGCCAAATTTTCTAGGAACCTACACTCTCTTATGAAATGATAATCGCTCAAGTACATACATGGCAACCTTCTTCACTCCAGAGTCCCCAGAGAACAAGCCAACCATGCCCATGGAGAGAGAGGCAGCGCTGCGGCCAACTTGCCTCTGGCTACCTTCAAAAAAGCATTTCCTGCAAGAAATATCAATGCTCATTGACGAGAGACAAATAAATGTTAGCACGCCACAGCTGCTGAAAGGAAAAGTAGTAGTTGGCCCTTCCCATTACTGGGAGTGTAAAAAATGCCACTGACCTGTTGAGCACTCCTGCAAGGCAGGGCTTACTGGGGGTAGGGGAGAGCGTGCACCAGAGTACTTACATCTGTCATTCCGATCCTCTGGGCTAGATGAGGCTTCCCGATCAGAAATGAGGCCAGAGACAGCAAAAATCTTCTTCCCAGTATCATCAACCTTAAGTGAACCAGGGGAGCTAGATGGCAGCTGTGTCCCAAAGTCATATTCCTTGCCATCTGCATCTGAGAAGCGTAAGTGGGGAGATTCTGTATCATGGCAGTTCTTAAGTCGTTTGGCCGGTGTGAAGGCAGACTGATAGCTCTCCCGGTCCTCAGTGGAAGCAAAGGGACGGAAAGCCCCCACGCCACTATGGTTCAGCATACTAATTGGGGTGCAATCAAGGTTTGGGGGTGCAAACTGAGGATGGAGGTGTAGTAAAGAAGGGGGGAAATCACGGTTGGCAAAAGTGCCTGGCACCCCACCTTGCCGGTGGTACATAGAGGCAAAGGTGTAGGAACCGTTGGTAAATGGAATGTGCACGTCCTTGTCTACTGAGACGGGTACACCAAAGGGTCGTGGCTGCTGACAAGGGATAGAAGCATCACGGCTGGCCTCAGCCGTGGACGCCAGGACCATCAGTGCTGGGGATGCCAGAGGGTTGGGAAGGTAGGATGAATTCTCCATCTTGAAGGCTGCCCGGTGTAAGTCCATTGGAGTCTCTTTCTATGGCCTTCGTCAGACAAGAAACAATCTTCCCTGGGAGGGAGGCCAAGCAGCACGTTGGATCAGAGCAGAGAATATTACTGGGGAATCATCCCCTTCTAAGACCTGTGGAAACAGCAAAGAGGAAAAAACGACGGGGGGGGGGGGACAGTCAGAAGGAGGAAAATAAGGGAAACCCCAAGTGATAAAAACACTATCCTTCTGGCATACAGATGCTTGGGCAAGAGACACCACAGGCTTTAGGAGCCAGTGGGCAGCAGCATCAGACCATTTTCATTCAGGAAAATCAATAGACAACTTACTGTGATGTACGTGTAGCTGACTTTGGTCCCTACACGTTCCGGGTGAAATGCACCAGAGCCCAGCAAAGAAAAAAAATCATAAAACCTCCAAATACAATATTCCCTGAGCAAATGAGCTTTGGAAGGCCAAGTCACCCAGTAGATTAGGTGGGGTCTATATTTTAAAGGGCTTCCATCTGGTTACACCACTCATGGCAGGCCTGAGGTTCAAACAGAGACCATGTTCTACCTATATGATCCCACACATACACATTCTCTCTTCATCCTCCCTAACAGCCTTGATAGGGAAAAATCCCTACAGCAAACACATCTAGACCACATACATCTGTACATGTTAGTTGGTACAAATTGTACATGTGGGTAAATCACACACATAGGCACATAAATAATCACACATCATCATGTATCATCTGTGACTATTTACAGAAAGAACTGTTATGTGTAACAACATTTTTTGATGCACACCCCTCTCTAATCACACAGGCTTTCTACTTCTCCTTTCTGAGAAGGAACAAAACCTTCATCAATAAAATGCCTGGCGTCTCTGACAATATTTAAAAACATAATGGGTGTCTTTGGCATATGGTATCTAGAAGCATCTGTCTTCCAGGGGCAGGAAAGAACGGATCGGTAATTTTAGTTACTAATGCACTCACTCTTAAGTAGATTTGTAAACTGCCTTTGAATTTGCCATTAACATTTACAATAAAATGTTAACAAAATTTCTGACTTATTTTGCTCTACGTATTGGGCCAGTCAGAGTTGATGTCCAATAAGGCCCCTGGAAAAAACTGGAGTTCAGAGAGACTTCTTTCAATTTCCCTTTTAAATTCAACTTGTACATTTCATGGTCACAGATTCTGTGTCAGATTTTATTTTGGGGTGAGGTTTGAAGGAAAAGGCTATATACATCAAAAGCTACGATAACATGAAATGAATACTAGGACATATTAGCTTCAAAAATACACTTAATAGAAACTTACTGAAACTCAAAGTGCAACCAAAAATAACCATCTGCTACAAATTGTAAACTTCAAATTGAGAGTCATATCTGAAATAAAATGTACCCATTCACCCTGCCCCCCCACACACACATACAAAAAAAATAACCCACCTATATAATGGAGCATCTTTGGTATTCCCTCAATAGAGAAACCTCAGTTAAACTGTAGATGAATCCTCCTGGCTTTAATGCAGTGCAAAGAGAGTATTTCCTTCTCCCATCCTGTAGCAGACATGTCAATGACTGTTATTAATTGGGAAGATGAGTGGACACCATCAGACTGCTTCCTCATTTGGCATCTTTCCTTATAGACATCATTGCTAAATTACCAGATTATGTATCTCACATTAACGGATTTTTCTCTCTTCCAAATTTTAAATAACTTTCCTGTCAAGTTATAGCAGTGCAGGGAATGATCTGCCAAGGACAGCCAGTTAGCCTGACAAGTCTGGGAATCCTGTTCTTGGCTGATTTCAAGTCAGATTAATGGTCATACAACATGGAGCTCTGAAAGTGGGTCTAGTGCTGTTCCAAAGGTTCTGAGCAGCACTTCACAAGAGAAATAACTTCTTGTCTATCAACAAGCAATATTATATGAGACAAGCTGGAGAAATGGGCAAACATAATATGCAGGGTGGGGGGTGCCCCCCCACAACCATCACCCAGAGAATTCTATTTCTATTTTTACTTCCTCGATCACCTCATTATGTTAAATGGGTTTCATAAATTAGTAATCTGGCGACAGCACCGGACACTCCAACAGAACACAGTGAATCACTCAAACCTAGTTATTCATTCAAAAACTTCATTACACTGAAAATAAATCAACAATATTTTTCCAGGCCCCATCTCTTTTACTCCACTGTGTGGCCACTGGTCTGGGGGGGGGGGTTCTTTTCTTTTCCCTTTTTTTTCCTTACCCCCTCCTCACATTAACAACATGTAGAGATGAGGCTTCAGCAGACCACAGTCATTATGAAAATCTATAGTTAATACACTCCCAATGTCAAAATGTCATGGGTTTAAACACAGAACCCCAAATAAGAAAACTAACTGACCCTCTTAATTAAAAAAATATGGATTGTAAGATAATCAGCTTGATGGAGCATTTGGGTGACTGTAAAGAACCCGGCAAAGGGAAAGTAAGTAACTGTTACTTTTCTGCCTCTATGCTGATTTTTTTTAATTTAGCACTTCGTGCAAATCCAGATTAAAATAACTCCAGCTATTGATCCGAGCAGTGGAATTGACATTAATTTTAGTTCACTTCTCACTTTGCAAAGGGATCAATAGGAAGTAATAACAGCTGACATCCCCGCTGAAAGGAGGAGAAAGAAGGGCTGAAGACAGAAATCGAAAAGCAACCAAATAAATCATCAGCTACTTTTCCACGGCATCAGACAAACTCCAAACAGATCGCAAAAAGTCTTTGTTGAATTAACTAAACAAGGAGGAGGGATCAATCCATGAAGCTAAATAAATTGTCTGGCAGGCAGTGAGGTTGGACGGAGGGACCGACAAATATTGAGTTTTTAAAATTTCAAATCCTTGACGTGATGGGTTTGGTTGAGTTCTGTATGTGTGGGAGTTTGTTAAATCACACACCCAACCTTGGTCTAAAGTGATTATAAAACGCCAGCTAAGTGAATAATTAGTGAGATTACTAATTGCATGGTTAAACATGCCAGAACCAAGACAAATGAAACGAAGAAGCCGGCGTTTGGAACGTGAAAATGTCAGAGGCTGGGATGATGCGTAGCGCTCCGCGCTCTCCAGTGCGAACTAGCCACTTTAATGCAGAAAAACCGAAAGCTCCGCAGAAAGTCTCAAAAAGTGGGCAATTTCCCACCCCAAGCTCTGCCCATCCCTGTCCAGGGATCTGGGTTTCCTGACCCGCGCCCGGGATCAGCATAGGAGGAAGCTGTGCTGCAGCAGCTGGGAGCCAAAGCCACTTGCAAATGACTGCCACAAAGAAAGCTGCTAAGTGCTCCTTCCCGGAGCGCGAGCTCAGAGCGCCCACCAAACTACGACACTGCTGGCAATTAAATCGCACACACAACACTCCTCTGCTTATTACAACAGGTGACATTTTTGTGGTCTCTGATCCGTTTCCAAAAGCCAGGAATTAAAATAATAGAACAAACTAAACGATCTTTTTCCTTTGCATAACTAAACTTTTAAAAAATTAACAGCCAACTTAAAAAGCAAAGAACAATAGGAAATAGGGCCAGGGTAATGGGGGGTTGTGAAGAAAGCAGGAAAGAATTTTTTTTTTTTTTTTTAAGTTCACAGACTTCTTCGCTTGAAGAGAATTCCCACACACCAAATGCCCAAGAGGTATTTGGAAACACCGCTCTAACAGAAATCTTACCACCATATGCGACAGCTCAGGGAGCATAAGGCTAATACGTTCCCGGGCTGGGGCCGACGCCTGCCGTTAAGACGTAGTGGAATATCGGTCCCAGATTTGGACCCGAATCCAGCCTGGCTTTGCCAAGAGATGCCAATAGGAAACTGCCCGACCGGTCAGAAAGTGCGGGGCTGCGGGACTGACGGCTCAGCTAGAGAGCGCAGAATTCAGCAGGCAAGGGTCTGGACCCGGAAAAATCAATTCTTTTAGGGAAAACCGAGGAAGAAGCAGTGAAGGCGAAACCTACATAAACTTGGAGGCAACGCAGAGCCGAGCCCACCCTCCTTTGCCTGATTGCTCCCTCCAGCTCTCTGTTGCCTTTGCACAAAGAATACTTTCGTTCCCATAAAACCTTCACACCAAACAATTTGCTTGTAACTTTGGGGAACGAAGGCGCCGGCCCGGCAAGAGCGGACACGTGCGGGGGACACTCAGTCCGCAGCAGGGCAGGGCCGGTGGGTCAGGAACTCGAAGGAGCCTGCCTCTGCCCAAAGTCCAAGGACCTCAGGCTCCGAACAGCCCCGCCCCGCGGGTCACCGAGGTCCGGTCACCGCGCGCCACCTCTTCGGCAGCCAGCTTACTGGGCTACTCCATTCCGGCTTTCCTGCAAATGCCGCTTGGCCCCGGCCGCCTGGCCCTCCCGGTTCCCAGGCCGTGGCGCGGAGGGAGGGCTCTGCAGCTCGCGCTGCGGCCATTGGGCCGCTGCACCCCGAGCAGCTCGCAGAACAGGTGTGTGTCCCCGCTAGCACCGCGCCCGGGCCCAGCCCGTCGGTCGCCAGCGCCGCCGCGCCGCCCTGTGCTCGGCCATTCCCCGCCTTGCTCCGGAGCGCAGCGAGAGAACTCACACCACGCTAGCCGGGATCCCGCGGGCCAGTAGGGTTCGAAACTGAAGACGTCCAGGTCGTTTTTACTCGACACTCTTTCTGCCTTTCACCTCTGCGAGTTTTCCCCTTGCCGGAGAGCCCTCGAGACCCGCGGCGGAGGAAGCCGGGAAAGGCACAGACTCTGCCTGCCCAGCTCGCTCCAGTCCGACTAGTCGCTTCCTCACTACCCGCCCTTTTTCTCGGTTTTTCCTTTCTCTCCCCTTCACCCCTCCAGCAGAGTCCAGAGCGGGGCCGCGAGACGAAACGTGGTTGGTGGGCACCTGGGCAGAAAGCACAGGCGCCTTCCTTCTCCCCGCGGCTCGGGGAGGAAGGGAGGCGGCGCAGGCCGGAGACCCCGGACGGCCCAGCCTGGCGCGGCTACGCCTGCACACCGAACGACCCGGTCCCGATACACCCACCCAGTGCGACGCCCGCGCGGTTCGGGGCCCAGGCCCTTGCGCTCTATTGACGCCGCGGTCAGGGCCCAGAAAGCAGCGAGTTCTTAACGCGAAGCGAGAGCGCTTCTTTATGTCTCCTGGGCAGCCCAGCCCTTGCTGCCTCCCGGCTCCCGCACGCCCTCGCCGGCCGGGGTCGACCCCGGCCTCGAGCTCTTGGAGGGGCTCCCGGAGCGGGGGACCGATTGGGCATCCCTTCGTACAGCCTCACCACCTTGGGCGGCCTCGCCCTAGGGGCCACATGGAAGCTCTCCACCCAAGTTTGTTCTGCCCTGGAAGAAAAGGCTTTCCCTTACAAAGCACAAAGGCGAAACGCCCAGGCCGAACCCTGGAAAGCCCGGGATTGGGGGCGAGGGGGGCGGCCGGAGGCTCCGGAGCGCAGTGGTGGGGCCAGACTCTGGTCTGTGAAGGTCTCCCGGCCCCGACAGACGAGCGCGGCGGCAGTGGCCGCGGGACTGCAGCATCCGGCGTGCTCGCTAAAAAGTTTTGTTCTTAAGTCGGAGGAAGAGAAATTGTTACTCAGTTGAAGGCAGGTCTAAGATAAAAATAAAACTACAAAAAGAGCAATGTGCCTCAGTCAACAAGATCATGCTTCCACCGAGTTACGCAGAACAGCTAGGAGAAGCAGTCCCGACCCCGAAAATCCCCGGAGACCCCCAAGGGTCGGGCTGTTCTAAGGGCAGGCCAGTGCAGCCGAGCGGAGCAGGGAGTTTACCGATTTCATTTGGAACCCGCCACCTCTCTGCCAGCACCTGCCTCCTGCCTGCGGACTGCGGCTCCCCCACTCCACCCCCACCTCCCTCCACACCCTTCACACCCTCCCCCACTAGGAAAAAGTAAGCCCGAGCACCCGGGAGCCCAGGGCTCCCTAGCCTTTCCTCGGGTACCCTACTGAGCTGGTTGTGTGTTGCGTGGGGGCGGTCATGGTCCTTTCTCATTCGGATTGCCCCTTCACCATCACTCCCGCCACCTCGGGCTCCCCATTGAGTACCACCCGGTCCCTGCCCCGCCGGAAATCACCGCGGGATACACTGGGGAGCCCAGCGAGAGGGCATTCTAGCTATCGACCCAAACAAAGTGGGAATGGGGCTTATTAAAAGATGGAGAAAAGAAGTACAGCTTCCTTCCCTTGCTGTCCCCTCACCCTCCCTACTTGACCAATTCGCGCGTCTGGTTCCTCCCCCTTGCACCCCCCCAAATAAAACACATTAAGGAAAACTCAAGACGGAAAGTTTGAGTGAGGCAGCGCACGGAGTGCGCAGGGCACCAAAGCCGAGAGGTTCTGTCGCGAAGATCTAAGACGCGCCAGTCCAGGTCCTAGCCCCTGCCCCAGTCCGGGCGGGGGGGAGGGGGGCCCTTCCGAATCCCTAGGAAACGGACCCGGAAAGTTAGCCAGGTTCCTGAGCAACCCAACAGCTCTCCGCACCCACCCCCTCTTGTGTACGCACACACATCCACACCCCTTTCTGATCTCCATACTTGCCGTGGAAATTCCTTGGGAGAACGGTCGCACTTTTCAGGACACAGAGGGAAGAAGGCGGGGAGTGTGGTGCATGAAAAGTCCCGGGTGCGCAGAGCCGGCGGAGGCAGCGGCGGCGGCGGCGGCGGCAGCAGCAGTGGGCGGCTGGCCCCGGGTTTGTGTTCGCGAGCTGCCTGGGATTGCATGTACAGATCAAGAGACTCGGTTGGTGTGAGAGAAGGAGCAGTGCTGCCTCTCAGCGCTGGCTCTAATCAGTGAATGAGTCTCCACTCTCCCAGGGACTCGGAGACTCACACACACACACACACACACACACACACATTCTCTCACACTCACACACATACAGGCACTCTGAGCACTGAATACATTAGGGCACTAAGGGACTCTGGGAAATGGAGTCCAGACCCAGGGCACTCCTGGAGAACAAACCTGCTGGCCCTCAGGAAAGGGCCCTCAAGTCTTGGGGTTGCAAGACACTGTGGAAACTGAAGACACCTTTCGCTTTCGTTCACATCCCCCTCCCTGAACGATCTCAGTGAATGGTTTGTTGTTCTTCCTTTCTTGACTCAAAAGTGATCAAGAGTAAATGGGTAAATCTTTAAGACTGACAGCCACTGCTGTTTAATGGCCCCCAAGTCCTGGTACCCTCATAAACTCTGGCTTTTTCCAGAAAAAAATCACCCTCGGCTTTGCTTTCTAATATTTATTTGAGTTATGGACTATAATCATAAAATAATAAATGAATATGATACAATTTTAACTTTTAGAGAGACTCGAGACAGGTTGGGCAATCTACTCCCGTAGTGATACTGCCTCGGAAACCCAAGGAGGGGTCGCTATGAGTGGGGTCCGACTCAACGGCAAATAACAACAACAACAACAAAGACACACTAAGGAGCTGTGGTGGCATAGTGGTTAAAGCGCTTGGCTAATAGCCAGAAGGTCAGGGGTTCAAACCCACCATTTCCTCTCTGAGAGAGCTGGAAATGTCACTCTGCCCTAAAGGGTCACTATGAGTCAGAAGTGATTCTATTGCAGTGGGCTTGGTTTCGGTTAGGTTTAGAAAAGGACTAGCTCAGCCCTCAGATTTGAGAATAAAAAAATGTATTGGTGTTTATATTACAATTCTTTCTTTTCAAAACATTTTATATCATCCTCTAATTCAGTAAGTACAGAATGATTAAAAGGGGAAATGGATAGATAACTAAGATTCCCTTGAGTACTTCTACGAGCCAGATAGTGGGATTAAATGCCTTTAAATAATCTCATTTAATCCTTAGATTAATTCTGAAGATAATTTTATCACTATTTTTTCCCTTATCATTAACATTAAGGTAGCATTTAAATAATATGTTTGTTATATGTACTTAAAATTTTAAATTAGTAACTCTGTAAATAAATGGCTAATTTGACCAACCTATGTTTATGATTATTTTTGTCTCTTTTTTTTGTTTTTGTTTGTTGTTGTTAGACCACTGAGTCAATTCCAACTCATACCCACCCTATGTACAACAGAATGAAATACTGCCCAGTCCTGCACCATCCACACAATCATTGCTATTTTTGATCCCAATTGTTGCAACAGTTTGTCAATCCATCTCATTGAGGGTCTTCCCATTTTTCATGGACCCTCTACTTTACCAAGCATGATGTTCTTCTCCAGAGAATGGTCCTTCCTGATAACATATCCAAAATACATAAGGCAAAATCTTGCTTTCCTCCCTTCTAAGAAGCATTCTGACTTCTTCCAAGACAGATTTGTTCATTCTTCTGGCAGTCCACAATATTCTTTGCCAACACCACAATTCAAATGCATCAATGCTTTTTCAGTCTTCCTTATTCATTATCCAGCTTTTACATGTATATGAGGTAACTGAAAGTACCATGGCTTGGGTTAGGCACACTTCAGTTATCAAAATGACATCTTTACTTTTTAACACCTTAAACAGGTATTTTGCAGCAAATTTATCCAATGCAATACATCTTTTTATTTCTTGGCTCCTGCTTACATGGACATTGATTGTGGATCCAACTGAAATGAAATCTTTGAGAATTTCAATCTTTTCTCCATTTATCAAGATGTTACTTGTTGGTCCAGTTGTGAGGATTTTTGTTTTCCTTATATTGAGGTGTAATCCATACTGTAATGCATATGAAAGGCTGTAGTCTTTGTCCTTCATCAGTAAGTGCTTCGAGTCTTCTTCACTTTTAGCAAACAAGGTTGTGTCGTATGCATATCACAGGTTGTTAATGAGTCTTCCTCCAACCCTGATAACCTGTTTTTCTTCATATAGTTCAACTTCTTGTATTATTTGCTCAGGATACAGTTTGAATAAGTATGGTGAAAAGATACAACCCTGATGCACACTTTTTCTGATTTTAAATGCTTATTTTGTTGGAATGATTGCCTCTTGGTCTTTGTACAAATTCCTCATAAGCACAATTAAATATTTGAGAATTCACAGTTCGTGAAATGTTTTCCATCATTTGTTATGATCCACATGGTCAAAAGCCTTTTCATAGTCAGTAAAACACAGGTAAACATCTTTCTGGTATTCTCTGCTTTCAATCATGATCCATCTGACATCAGCAATGCTATCCTTCATTCCACATCCTTTTCTGAATCTGGTGTGAATTTTTGGTTGCTCCCTATCAATGTACTTTTCAGCAAAATTGTATTTGCTTGTGATATTAATGATACTGTTAGATAATTTCCACATTCTGTTGGATCACCTTTCTTTGAAATGGGCACAAATATGAATATTTTCCTATAAGTTGGCCAGGAACTTGTTTTCCAAATTTTTGGCATAGACAAATGAGAGCTTGCAGTGTTGCATCCATTTGTTGAAACATCTCATTTGGTATTCCTTTAATTCCTTCAGCCTTGCTTTTCACCACTGCCTTCAATGTACTTAAGGAGCTCTGGTAGCACAATGCGTAAGGCATTTGACTGCTAACCAGAAGGTTGGTGGTTCGAACCTACCAGCCCTCCAATGGAAGCAAGACTGGGCAATCTACTTCCATGGAAAGTATGCCTCAGAAACCCAATGGGGGTCACTGTGAGTTGGAATCAACTTGATGGCAGTGGGTTTGGTTTGGTTCAATGCAGCTTGGACTTCTTCTTTCAATACCATTACTTTTTGATCAAATACTACCTCCAGAAATGGCTGAACATTAACTAATTCTTTTTGGTAGAGTAACTCTGTGTACTCCTTCCATCTTTTTTTTTTTTGATGCTTACTGCTTTGTTCAATATTTTGCCCATAGAGTCTTTCAATATCACAACTCTAGGCTTGAATTTTCTCTTCAGTTTTTTAGCTTGAGAAATGCCAAGTGTATTCTTCCCTTTTGGTTTTCTAACTTCAGGTCTTTGCACGTTTCACTATAGCACTTTACTTTGTCTTCTTGAGCTTCCCTTTGAAATTTTCCATTCAGCTCTTTTACTTCATCATTTCTTTTGTTCACTTTAGCTACTCCATGTCTAAGAACAAGTTTCAGAGTCTCTTCTGACATCCATTTTGGTCTTTTCTTTCCTGTCCTTTTAATGACCTTTTGCTTTCTTCATGCATGAAATCTTTGACATCATCCTACAATTTGTCTGATCTTCAGTCATTAGTGTTCAGTGTGTCAAATCTATTTTTTAGATGATCTCGAAATTCAGGTGGGATATACTCAAGGTTGTGCTTTGGCTCTTGTGGACTTGTTTTAACTTTTTTCATCTTCCACTTGAACTTGCATATAAGCTTGTACTTGACATGAGCAATTGATGGTCTGTTTCACAGTTGGCCTCTGGCCTTATTCTGACTGATAATATTGAGTTCTCCATTGCCTCTTTCCATAGATGTAGTTGATTTGATTCCTAGGTATTCCATCTTGTGAGGTCTATGTATATAGTCGTCATTTATGTTATTGAAAAATATATTTGCAATGAATAAGTCATTCGTCTTGCAAATTTCTTTTATGGGCTTTCCAGTGTCAGTTCTATCACCACAACCATATATTTCAGCTACCCATGTTTCTTCTTTATTTCCAACCTCTGCATTACAATCACCAATATGCGGATCAAGGTATCTTGATTAACTGGTCTTTTTTATAGGTGTATGGATATTATCCTATCATTGACAGCATTGTACTTCAAGATAGATCTTGAAATTTTCTTTTTGATGATGAATGTGACACTGTTTCTGTTCAATTTGTCATTCTGGCCATAGCAGACCATATGACTTTCTGATTCAAACTGGCCAATACCAGTCCATTTCAGCTTACTAATGCCTATGATCTCTATCTTCAAGCATTCTATTTCATTTTTGACAAGTTTTAATTTTCCTTGATTCACTTTTTGTACGTTCTATGTTTCCATTATTAATGAATGTTTGCAGCTGTTTCTTCTCACTTTGAGTTGTGCCACATCAGCAAATGAAGGTCCTGAAAGCTTTACTCTATCTATGCCCTTAAGGTCAACTCCATTTTGAGGCGGTTGCACTTTCCCATTCATATTTTGAGTACTTTCCAACATGAGGGACTCATCTTCTTGCATTATATTAAACAATGTTCTGCTGCTATTCATAAGATTTTCACTGGCCTGTTTTTTTTTTTTTTAAGAAGAAGATCTCTACATCTTTCTTCTTGGTCTGTCTTAGTCAGGACATGCCACTGAAATCTGTCTGCCATGGGTGACCTTACTGGTATTTGAAATACTAGTGGCATAGTTTCCAGCATCATAGCAATAAGCAAGCCACCATAGTACAACATACTGACAGATGAGTGGTGAGGTTTCTGTTTGTTTGTTAAGAACCTCTGAATCTTAAAGTATTAATGCTTATATCCATGCTTAACCATTCACTTGTATACCAGAATTTATTGTGTTAGGCACTATTTTTCCCATTAGATTGTCCTTTTCTGCTGGATTGTAAACTTCATGAGTGCAAGAATCCTATTTGTTTTATTCAACATTATACCCTCAGCACCTAAGTGTCAATCTGTTTGTTAAGTGAATAAATGAGAGTATTAAAATGAACAAAACACTAGTTTTGACCTCAAAGAGCTTACCAACTAGTAGAGGAGACAGAGTTAGAAATCAATTTGATGAGTACTATGATTAAAGCTACCATATAATTTATTGGCCTAAATGGGACACATTTGATAATAATAAAAAAAGCACTATTAATAATTTACACTGGGATGATAAGTGTGAACAGAGATTGTCCTGGGCCAAGTGGGTAGAATGGGTACCCTAGCTATGGACATCTCATTCATCCAT